TACTTCCACATTATAAAAGTACTACAAGAGAGGGAAGCTAAGTCAGATCAAATACTGACTCAGATAGGAAGTTCCACCCCAGCGCTGAGTGAGATTAACCCCCTCTCTGATGAGGACACAGGAAAGCTTCAGCCAACCGTAACTAACAGGCTGGAGAGGAACAATGACAGCCCAAACATATGAGCTCAGTGAGGGACGTGGACAAATTATTGCCGCCTCACACTTGCTATCTGGATACATTAAGCAACTTGACTCTGTTTAGACAAATCATCCTCCAACAGGCCAGTCAGCAGGGATTGCATCCCAATTGGGGAAGAGGACAGTCACCACAAGGCACACAGTTTAAAATTCACAAGCAAAAGAAAAAGGCATGCCTGCACTGAATGAAAGATCCAGAGGTCACAGAAAGTGTATATAAGCTCCAATAATCTAACAAAACATCCCATCCATGGCATTTTTACATTTAATTTTATTGGATAATACAAAGTAGATCAGAGAGAATTAAAAACGTTGTTTTTGTTTTGAGAAGACGCAGGTTGACTACTGATGATTTAAGATATAATTAACAGGATTGGAAAATATTTTTCCAGAGTATACAGCAGTAACAATAAACTTTATGTTTTTTACAAATAAATTTTCTTAGAACTATAAGATACCATATTTCAAAGTTACGACACCAGGTAGATACAGTAACTCACTGGGTGACAGCAAGTATAGTATATTATATGACAACAGGCTTCCACCTTAAACATGTTCAGAATGGGTACCCAAGCAGGGTAATGATTAAGTGATTGACATAATTATTATATTTTTAAGTTTGTAGGAATGTTCTCACAATAAAATAAACCAACATCTTACAATGAAATAAAATATGGATGTGTGACTGACCATGGGGTTATGAGAATTTAATTCTGCTTTGTGAAATTTGATTTCAATTGAAAATGTTCTTGTTTAGTTTAATTTTGGAAGACATATATGCTCATTTTACTACATTTAAATTTGACAATTATATTTTTAGATCCAGCAAAATTATTTATTTATATATTTTTTGCTCCATATTCCTCCAAAATCCCAATGAGAGAGAGGGAAAACAAAATAAAACTGTTTACAAATACAAATATATAACAAGAAATAAACACATTTTTTACCCAAGCTTTTTTGTTTTTACTCTTAGAAAGAGAGGGTAAATAAAGTTCAATTTACTTAACCAAAACTGTAAAAGGATAAAGCTAATGAAAATTTATATTTGTAAAAATACATTTTGCAAATAGTATAATTAGATTAATCCCAGCAGTCTGTTTATATGTTAATTATTTCCTTTAAGAATATAATAATAAAATCTAAATGCTCACTCCTTAGTACAAATGTAGCAATGCAGTAAACGTAGCAATGCAGTAACTATCAATTAAGATCAAGCAAAGGTGAGAAAAAAAAAATCAAGCAGAGGTTTGGTAGCGTTTCTCTGGGAAACGTATAGGTGGCGCTAGAGATACCTTTAAGTCAGTGCCCGACTGCAGAAGAAGAGCCGTTGTTGCCAACCCCCGATTAATCCAAGAAGAAGAAGAAGAAGAAGAAGAAGACTTTGACTTTTAACAGCACTTTATTTACACAATTCAAACATATATACAATTGACGTAAAACAAGTGTCAGTTAAAATCACTATTATAGTAAAACAAGTGTCAGTTAAAAATCATTAAATGAGGAGCTTGTTAAAATGCAGTTCTCCATCATCTGACACAGTACATAAAATGTTTTTAAAACCCCACAACTGAATAAAATCCTCAATGTTCTGTGTGGCTCTATGGAAGTGAAACTCCAGCCTTATCCTGGCTTTAAGGTTGCACTTCCACAGAGCCACGGCGTCAAGGTGAGGTCTCTCCTGCAGTCTGTCTCTACGGGACAAATAAATAGCCAGTTTAGCTTCACTGATTAAAAAGTTCAAAAGTCTAGCCTTTGTCTTGTTGCCCTTGTTTTGACACACTCCTCCAATAAATAGAGATGATACAAACATAATAAGAGATGAAGATAAAGTTGAAATATTGGCAAGAACGTTTAGTAAAATTCATAGTTCAAATAATATTAGTGAAAATGGAAGAAAAGGTAGATTAAATACAAAAATTAAATATAAAGATTTTATACAGAGCGTTGAAGAAACAAATAATTTGTTAAATGTTGAGTTTACAAAAACGGAATTGAACAATGCACTTAAAAAAACAAAAAACACAGCACCAGGTAAAGACCAAATCTGGTATAGAATGATAGGGCAACTTAGTGAAAAATCTAAAGATATAATATTACAACTATATAATAAAATTTGGGAGGAGGGAAAATTACCGTTGAACTGGAAGGAATCAATTATAATACCAATAGCCAAACCAGGAAAAGATCATTCAAACCCAGAAAACTACAGACCAATAGCCTTAACGTCTAATTTATGTAAAATAAAGGAAAAAATGATTAATAATAGACTAGTATATTATCTAAATAGTAAAGGATATATATCAAAATATCAAAGTGGTTTTCGAAAAGGGAGGAGCACTAACGATCCAACGCTCTGTTTAGAGCACGAAATTAGAAGAGCACAAGTAAATAAAGAAAGTGCAGTGGCTATATTCTTTGATATAGAAAAGGCATATGATATGATGTGGGTGGATGGATTATTAATTAAATTATACAAGTTTGGTATTAAAGGGAGAATATTTAAATGGATTAAAGACTTTTTAACAGGTAGGAAAATACAAGTTAGAATAGGAGAAACTACCTCAGGAAAATATATAGTAGAAAATGGAACTCCACAGGGGAGTATTATAAGTCCACTATTGTTCTCAATTATGATAAATGATGTATTTAAAGATATTGAAAAAGACATGGGGTGTTCACTATTTGCAGATGATGGAGCTGTTTGGAAACGAGGGAAAAATGTTGATTTTATTGTTAAAAAATTACAAAAGGTTATTATTGAAATAGAGAAATGGGCGTTGCAATGGGGATTTAAGTTCTCAGTTGATAAAACGAAAGTAATGTTATTTACTCAGAAAAAAATAAACAAGGAAATAAAATTTAAATTATATAAACAAGAGTTAGAGCAGGTAAAGTGTATAAAATTTTTAGGATTATGGTTTGATGAAAAATTAAAATGGCATATACATATACAAAAAGTTGTTGATAAATGTAAGAAAATCTTGAATATTTTGAGATGTTTGGCTGGCAGTGACTGGGGAGCAGATAGGAAATCACTAAAACAGATTTACTCAGGAATGATAAGATCCAACATAGACTTTGGTTGTTTAGTTTATTGTTCAGCAGCTAAAACACATTTGGTTAAATTAGACACTATCCAATATCAGGCACTAAGATTATGTACTGGAGCATTTAAAACCACACCAACAGCAGCATTAGAAATAGAAATGGGAGAAATGCCATTAGATTTAAGAAGAACAAAATTAGAAATTAATTACTGGTTAAATTTTCAAGGAAATAATGTGGATCACCCAACTTTGGACATTTTAAATCCATGCTGGGAAAAAGAAAAGAAAGAAATTAGGAGTTTTGGATGGACAATTGAAAATAAAATAAAAAAATTTAAAATGAATAGTTTAGAAATGAGTCAAACAACACCAATATCAATTATACCTCCCTGGATTCTACCAGAAGCAACAGTAGATATGTCACTAATGGAAAGGAAACAAGATAAATCGTACACGGTAGATATTAATTTAGTACAGTTACATTTAGACAGTTACTATCAATATATTCAAATTTATACTGATGCATCAAAAATAACTGAGAAACTAGGAATAGCATTTGTAGTACCAGAATTCAATATAAAAATAGGAAAACGAATTACAGATGGATTATCAGTATACACAGGAGAAATGTTGGCAATATTATTAGCGTTACAATGGGTAGAAGACATAAAACCATTAAAAACAATAATATGTTCAGATTCAAGCTCTGCATTGTTAAGTTTAAAAAATAACCAAACAGATAGTAGGATGGACATTTTATTAGAAATAAATCATACACTGTTCAGAATACGAAACATGGGGCTGATAGTTGCATTTGTGTGGGTTCCAGCACATATTGGGGTAGAAGGAAACGAGAGGGCAGATAAAATGGCGAAAAGGGCAATTAAACATTCTATTAGTTTTATAGTTAAAATAAGTAAATCAGAAGGAAAGAGTATTTTTTAAAGAGAAACTTATGGAAATTTGGCAAAAAAGGTGGGATGAAGATAAAACAGGAAGATGGTTTTATAAAATTCAGAAGATGGTAGGAGAAAGAAGAAATGGAAGAATAAATAGAAAGGAGGAAAGAGTGATAACAAGGTTAAGATTTGGTCATACAGGACTTAATCATACACTTTTTAAAATACAAAAACATAAAACGGGCAAATGTGATTTCTGTGATAAATATGAAACCATAGAACATGTTATATTAGAATGTCATAAATATGAAAGAGAAAGAAGATATATGAGAAGAGAGTTTGAAGACATTAAGGAGAAGGTTAATTTATTAGATATACTGAGGAAAAATTTAGGGAGTAAACACATACAAATAATTATTCGATTTCTAAAGAAAACGAAATTATTCCATAGAATTTAATTATAGTAAGTGTGTTTGTGAGTGAAGGAATGATATACAAAGCTGTGCACAAATATATATATATTTTTTTAAGTGTGAATGTGTGAATGTATGTTTAAAAGAAGTTAGGGTAGAATGTATCAGGATAGATATTTAAACCATCACGAACCACACTCCATACCAGTAAGTGGCGGTAATGCTACTAACAGTTTGTTGCCAACCGCCATAAAACTCGACAAGAAGAAGAAGAAGAAGAAGAAGAAGAAGAAGCAGCGTAGAATCTGCAGCTATTTGTCGAACATGCCAAATTCCAGAGATTGCTTTAACTTGACGTATTAAGAATGTATTTTTTATGAGATAATTTATCGATATTTAAAAACTTTCTTGGACCGAATTAAACAGGTTAGTGGGGGTAACGAAAAAGAAGTTTACAGAACTACCTTTAGGCAGGGCATCAGACATGTAGTTTTTTTCCAAGTTAGTAAAAGTTTTGGATGTTTGCTGAACGTTGGAAGGTAATTAAAGCCTTTCGATGTAACCGTATAAACGTACTAACCTACATTTTATAAACATTACTTATTTTTTTGGGTGTTTATATAGGAAATGCTTCTGAAACAGTAGCGCGACCCTGGGTGATGTAAGTTACAGTGATATTTTTTCCTTCTTTTCGTTGCAGGGAGGACCTATAGCCGACGTTGCTAACATGTTAGCCAGGGCAGCCCTAAGCAAAGGCATCACTGCCCAGCGCCTCTGTAAGAATGTCACCTTGTACCTGAACGAGCTAACATTTCCAGGGGAAGGGGTCCAGCGTCAAACCCCTGGCGACCAAAAGCCCCTCCTGCTGATGCTGCCGTGGTTTGGATCACGACCACAAGCTGTGGCCAAATACTGTGAAATCTACTTTCGCACTGGATTTGATGTGCTTGTGGTGGAGAGTGAGGTAAGGGAAAAAAAATGGAAATAAAACAAAGGATTTATGATTTCAAGTATTTAAAAACAAATGTGAGGGATATCCCACCTACAGTTGTGGCTTAACATGATGTCACAGTGTAAAGAGATGACTAATAACCTTGAATAAATAGTCATCTCTGGCTGGCAGCTTGTTCTCTAATGGAAAAGATTAGGATAGTTGCCATCTTATCTAAAGAAATTTCCCAGCACTGCAGTTTTAATCATACGATGAGGTCAAAAATCCTCCTCAACAAAGTAAAACACTGATTGTTACACATAAAATAATTGCTACAGGTTAATACTTATTATGAGGTAGATACAAGCAGACTTTTTGTAGCTTAATATTTGTTAAATAGTGTCAGAGTGGAATCAAATGTGTATTATTGTTCACTTGAGTTTATATTAAGATAATTTTGGAACCAAGTAAAGGTCAGATAACTAAGTAGTTGTGCCTTGTCACATATAAAATAAAAAATATTTATTCTTATCTATAAACTGCACAACTGTTGCTTACCTAAATTAAATATGATTTATTTATAAGGTACATGGGTTAAGCTTTAGAGGTGGCATTAAAATCATTGTTGTTGCAAAAATATTTTGGGAACTTTGAATTAAAAATGAGATGCATCTTCTTTATTCTGCCTAAATGACTGTGAAAATAGCATCTAACAGGCTTTATTCACAAGCATGCCCCTCTATCTGTAATCAAGATAATCAGTTGGGTGTTAGCGGCTTGAGTTGAGCAAGACCTTTGCATTCGAAATCCCTCATACACTTTTACCACCTACCTTCTGCACAACCTGTCCTTGTGTGCAAACCTTTAGCACAAAAAAGAAGGATACAGATGTTCAAAGGTTACTCTCAAAGATAATTGTGGCAGCAGTTTTTTGTAGCACTTGAGCAGACATTTAAAGGGTTCATCGGGTTTCAGGGCGGCCGATTAACTCATCGCTTTATGGAAGTTTTTAGTTGACATCAAATGCTCAGCATATAAAGCTTTGGTTCATATAAAGTGCATATACCATTTTGTTTGTACGGTAATTAAACTGATATGTTTTAGAGTTATTTAGATTTTTAAAATTAAATTCAAGAAAAAAGGGATCATTTTGAAAGTGAAATAAATATAATGGAGAGAACTAATTTTCACACTGATGACAAAAACTGATATTATTTGAGGATGAAGAAAAAGGTTTGAGAGAAAATATTTTATCCTAGAATTAATAAAAGATATATTGATATTTGGAAAATGATATCCGGGGGAAAAATAAGCTCTCAAAAAATATATTTTTATTGTTTTTGCACAGTAAAAACATTTTCTTTCAAAAATAGGTTTTGAAAGAGAGAAGGAAAACGCTTTTAGGGATAAATCTCTTTGCTCTTCAAGATTTTTCTCTCAGTGTGTAAAATGAGTAATGGGCGGGCCTGCGTTCCTGTTGGTCAGTCTCAACAGAATTGTGAGCTGAGTGGTGATATTTGGTGCAAAAATGGTTACTTCTCCGTCTTTGATATTAATCAGGAAACTCATCTGCCCCGACTGCCTCGCTCCAACAGTAGATGTGTTTAGGATGAACAGAGCCTCACCTGGAATGTGGTCAAGAGCTTACTGATGTGTTTTTAGGTGTTTTAATTTTGTATTTCCACCATTAAGTTGCAAAACAAAAATACAACGCATTGACATGGACGAGAGCTTACAGCTGTGCTGATTGGCGGGGTTATGATGGGTCTGTTCAGAAGCTGGACAGAGATGGCTGGCATCATGTTTGTGTTTTACTACTTATCGGTCTTATAGTCTCCTTGAAGTGATTTTTTTTCTTATATTCTGTAGATAAAGTTGCATAAACTAAGATGCATCTCATAGTTAAAAGTTAATACCACCAAATTATCTATTTAGACACATTACTACTACAAACTTCAGCAAATTTCACATGGCTTTCACATAAAGATATGCAAAGAAAACCCCAAACAAGTGGACCTTGGTTCTGGTAGTTGACATTTTGCTGTTCGTTCAAAGAGCTTCTTCACTTTATAGTTGGTAAGAGTTTAAAGTGTCATTTCCGCTGCTGTTAGCAATGGGCAGTCCAAGATGATCTGGTCACCTCCTGGAAGGTGACCAGGAATGTAAATTAGTTTCAAACGGTCTGAGCATCAGGCTAAAGGCGGGGCTATATGCATTTGAAAGTTGAAATCTGAGTCTTTTCCTACAGCTTAGACTACATCTATCTCGTTTGAGCAAAATGCCTTCTTTAATCTCTCTTTCTCTTTCTAAAAAAAGAATAATAAAAAAGTATTTTCTTGAGACTGTGTTTTAGGATCCAACGACCCAAATATATGCAATGTCAGTGTCAGTAGTGCAGATTAACAGATTAAAATCAAAGCATAATTATGTGTGAGAATATCCCATTAGTACGGGTGGCATTCCTTTTATACATTGAGATTTTTGTTTATGTCAAGAAATGTTGAGGAGGATTAATACTTTTGCAATGTAATGTATATTGTGATGAAAAGAAATTAAGTATTATACAGCTAAGGATGATTTACAGGTCTAGCATTCTTTTTAAGTTTATTCTGAAGTCTAGATTGCCAATGCTCTCAACGTGAACACTAATGTACATTTCTAAAGGTGGCTACTTTCCTTTAGAAATCGTATTTTTGTTTTTCTTAAACAAGGTGAAAGACTTCCTGTGGCCTCGCTGGGGTCTAGACCGTGGAAAAACTTTGCTGGAGTTGCTCCAGAGCGAACCCTTGATGTCCCGCCCCCTCCTCGTTCATGCCTTCTCCATTGGTGGCTACACATTCGGACAGCTGCTGGTCCATATCTCCCGGGACAAAGAGCGATACCAGGCAGTGACAAACAGGATCAAAGGCCAAGTCTTTGACAGCTTAGTGGTGGGCTCACTGGAGCATATGGCAGCAGGTAAGTCAGTACCCATATAATAATATAACACCGTTTTTAAAACGGCCTTTTCTGCTGCAGAATTTATGAATTGTGCTGCTCTCTTTGTCTAGGTCTTGGTAAAACTATATTTCCTCGTTTTGAGAGCCTGATAAAACAAGCCAGCATGCTCTACTTCAGCATCTTCAAACGCCAGACGGTGGACTACTTCAATACAAGCATCGATGTATTTTATAATACTCCAGTCAAAGCCCCAGCTCTGGTCTTCTTCTGTGACAACGACGTGATGAGTGATGCGACAAGTGTGGAGAAACTGATGGATTACTGGCAGAAGCAAGGAATGGATGTAACGGCGAAGAAGTGGGAGGTTTCAACACACGCTGGTCATTTACGGAGACACCCGCAAGAATATCTGAGCACCTTGGATACATTCCTACATTCACTTCGGGTCGCACCGCTGAAGGCCAAGATGTGACGCCATTTTATCACTGCTCAGTAATTAAAGTACCTCCGTTTGTTTTCCTTTTTTCATATGGTAGGAGACATAACCTGTTGTTTTTAAGCAATTTAATTTACGTACTGATTATTTTATCAATTAATTTGAATGACACCACAGATGCATTGAAAATCAGTTCAGTTACAAACAAAAAAACAAACTCAGGACACATAGCAGGCATTTAAAGCGGTTGCAAAAAAAATAAATCACAGCAGTCCATCAAATCAAAACTTACAATGGTAGGAAATGCTTCACCAGTTATCCATCCATCCATCCATTTTCTGACACGCTTAATTGCAAGTGGGATTCGCGGGGCAAAACAGAGACAAACAGGACTAACCCCCAGATTCCACATACTCCGTCAGTGCTCCGCTCCGCCCCGCTGACGTACGTCGTGCGGAGCGTTTGTCTTTCATGGAAATCCATGAGAGCTGTTCCACATCCACCGCTACTCCTCCGCACGTCTCCGTCCACGTACGTCTTCTCCGTCCGTCACCGACAAATTACGGAGCCGAGATATTTTTTGCTCCGCTCCGGTCCGGCCAGGTCAAGATCCGCAATTGCAATCGCACCAAACAGGAAAAAGAACATCGACAAATTCCGGTTCGTCAAATTAAAATATAGCAGCAACAGATCGGTGACTAGAAATTATAGCACAATTCTTATATATTAAAAAACAAAACTAACACCGTTTATTTAAATGATTGGATCCAAACTATTGGTTATTCACCAACGAGGAAGCAGATTTCTCATCTCCATCAAAATATTTATTTTATACTGAGGGACTTATAATCAAATCCATTCAAAAGAAACTTCTTATTACAGGAATGAAAAGAGATGCTGAGTTTGGGAGTAGAGAACAAGTTCATTCAAAAAAGCAGTTTGAATTATCCTTATCCCCGTTACAAAAAACTACAAATATATATATATATATATTTGGGCAGAAACTGAACATATGCTGGATGATGGTGGGATTTTTTTAATATGTCATATTAAATTAAGCGTTCACAGGGTTCATACAGGAATGAGTGACTCTAATTTAATGCTATTTTAATGCTATTAGAAATGATTTTAATGCCATTAACAAGAACCATGTACACAAGTTATTAGTGTACATGAAATATGAAGGAGCTGTAAGCGCACAGTTCCATGACTCCTGTATGTATGTAAACACACACACACATATATACGTATATATATATTCTCTAGCTTTTTCTCCGCCTCGAGCTTCTTTTCCGAACATACGGCTTTATGATCAGTTCAACGCAAATTAATAGCGATATAATATATCTGACGAAATTGTTTTTATAAGCATTTTTTATTACAGAATTATAAATACTTCGATAAACATATTTAAATAATTTTAGTGCCAATTAAGGCCTTGATTTAAAAAAGAAATGAATGGATTATAATTATTTTTAATGATTCCCGGAAACCCTGGTTCATCTCGCGCATGCTCTCTACGATCTCCAAGAAACTCAGAGCGGAGCGGCCTGGAGCCACAGCGGCGGCTGTAGGCTTTGCTTTGTGCAGGCGGTCTGGAGCGCAGCGGGGCGGAGCGGAGCGGGGCGCTGACGGAGTATGTGGGATTTCGGGGTAACGACCATTCACGCACACACTCACACCTAATTAGAGAAGCCAATTAACCTAACCGTCATGTTTTTGGACTGTGGGAGTACCCGGAGAAAACCCACGCATGCTCAGGTAGAACATGCAAACTCCATGTAGAAAGACCCCAGGGCCAGGAATCGAACCCGCGACCTTCTTGAGCAGCCCCACTTCATCAGTTATTTATGAAAAAATGTGAATTAAGCTTTCTACAGGAGAAAACACCGATCAGTTCATTCTTCGATCTCTTTGTACGAGTGTTCCTGTGAAAGAAAGCAGACGAGTTTTACTTCAAACTGTTACAGTATTTAATTTATCTTTTTTACATGTCCTTCTTAGCATTGCTGGAATGTTGTTGGGGCATCTATAGCTCATTGTATTTTTTTTTCTGTTTCTAACTGATGGGTTTTATTGAACAGAATGGTTATCAGCTGCTGTTACTCTTAAAATCAACATTTACTTTTCTCAAAATCTTACATGAGAAGTCTTTTTTTTGCACTCTTAACAGTGAGTCTGCAGTTTTTCTTTCATTTTTTAAAATAACCTCATTAATTATGTAATTATGAGTCAATGTATTATATATTAACAGATTCCTTTTTAAAAGACAAGTCCAAAGTCTTTCTTTTTTTTTTAAGGAACCGGACATATTCTTGGATCCAAACACTGAAGTTTTATTTCTCTATTTTTATGAAGACAATGTTGAAAGAAAGTTATAAACTGCATCTAAGTCGAAACTTCTCATCATATCTTATCTTACACCGTTCAGATAAATAAGCTACAATGAAGTTAGTTCCAACTTAAGATAATCCTGAAAAAAAACAAAAAATCCCTTTATTTAAATAAGAAGGCGATTCAGTAATGTAGCATTTTCTTTATTGAGAAACCTTTTCTGTTAATTTAAAATGGGAGGGAGCAATTCTATCACTCTTCAAAACTGCCTTCAGGGTTTGCTGTTATTTTTGCATCCGAAGAAGTTGAATAGGTAATTGCTTTATAAAGGACATTTAGGAACCTTTATACAGGTGCTGGTCATAAAATTAGAATATCATGAAAAAGTAGATTGATTTCAGTAATTCCATTTAAAAAGTGAAACTTGTATATTATATTCATACATTACATACAAACTCATATATTTCAGATGTTTATTTTGTTTAATTTTGATGATTACAAATGACAACAAATGAAAATCTCAAATTCATCATATCAGAAAATTAGAATATTACTGAAGACCAATAAAAACAAAGGATTTATAGAAATGTTGGCCAACTGAAAAGTATGAACATGAAAAGTATGAGCATGTACAGCACTCAGTATTTAGTTGGGCCTCCTTTGGCCTGTATTACTGCAGCAATGCGGCGTGGCATGGAGTCGATCAGTCTGTGGCACTGCTCAGGTGTTATGATAGCCCAGGTTGCTCTAATAGTGGCTTTTAGCTCTTCTGAATTGTTGGGTCTGGTGTATTGCATCTTCTTCACAATACCCCATAGATTTTCTATGGGGTTAAGGTCAGGAGAGTTTGCTGGCCAATTAAGAACAGGGATACCATGGTCCTTCAACCAGGTACTGGTAGCTTTGGCACTGTGTGCAGGTGCCAAGTCCTGTTGGAAAATGAAATCTGCATCTCCAAAAAGTTGGTCAGCTGCAGGAAGCATGAAGTGCTCTAAAACTTCCTGGTATGTGGCTGCGTTGACCCTGGACCTCAGAAAACACAATGGACCAACACCAGCAGATGACATGGCACCCCAAACCATCACTGACTGTGGAAACTTTACACTGGACTTCAAGCAACGTGGATGAAGTGCCTCTCTTGTTTTCCTCCAGACTCTGGGACCTTGATTTCCAAAGGAAATGCAAAATTTACTTTCATCAGAGAACATGACTTTGGACCACTCACCAGCAGTCCAGTCCTGTTTCTCTTTAGCCCAGGCAAGACGCTTCTGACGCTGTCTGTGGTTCAAGAGTGGCTTGACACAAGGAATGCGACAGCAGAAACCCATGTCTTTCATACGTCTGTGTGTGGTGGTTCTTGAAGCACTCACTCCAGCTGCAGTCCACTCTTTGTGAATCTCCCCCACATTTTTGAATGGGTTTTGTTTCACAATCCTCTCCAGGGTGCGGTTATCTCTCTTGCTTGTACACTTTTTTCGACCACATCTTTTCCTTCCCTTCGCCTCTCTATTAATGTGCTTGGACACTGAGCTCTGTGAACAGCCAGCCTCTTTAGCGATGACCTTTTGTGTCTTGCCCTCCTTGTGCAAGGTGTCGATGGTCGTCTTTTGGACAACTGTCAAGTCAGCAGTCTTCCCCATGATTGTGTAGCCTATAGAACTAGACTGAAAGACCATTTAAAGGCTTTTGCAGGTGGTTTGAGTTAATTAGCTGATTAGAGTGTGGCACCAGGGGCCATCAATTTTGAACCTTTTCACAATATTCTAATTTTCTGATATGATGAATTTGAGATTTTCATTTGTTGTCATTTGTAATCATCAAAATTAAACAAAATAAACATCTGAAATATGAGTTTGTATGTAATGTATGAATATAATATACAAGTTTCACTTTTTAAATGGAATTACTGAAATCAATCTACTTTTTCATGATATTCTAATTTTATGACCAGCACCTGTATAAAGCCTGACATTTACCCCCAATTTTCAGTGTTGGGATTCTCTTGCTCTGATTTACATTAACTTCATAGTATTTCCCTGGCATTACGGTAAATCTGAAAAGAAATAATTATATTCATTGTTACAATTCTTACCGTGCAATTTTCCTAAGCTAATTAACTCATAATTCTTGTATTTACAGAAAACATTGGTTCTCTTTTCGTTTAATCTGTGGTTACAGCATATCGTCTGATGCAATATATGGGTGCTTATCAATACAAACTTTTTAAAATATTTTAAAAACAAGACAAATCATCACAATCCAATGAAATGACACTTTTGACTGAGCCATGATAAAGTCTTCTATGAATAGTGGTTTTGACCCGTTGAAGGGTGTGTTGGTACCTTTTTTTTTTTTTTTTTTTTTTAAAGAACATTTGCTTCTGTAAACCAGTTCATGCTTTATTGTTCATTAAATGAGGAACTTTCCTAAGGGTCCATCACAAATCCTTTCTCAGGTCTTTTCTTTCTGTGAAAATTCAACTTTACTTCCTAGCGCATCTGCACACATAAGCTGTGCTCTCTCCAAAAGACCAAAGCAGTAACTAGACTTGAAAACTGAAGTAGTTCTGTTTAAAAATCTCTGTTTATTTAAGCACAATTACTGAAAGTTATTGTTAAACACGGTGCCTTGAATTAGAGTTGTTTCATTACACTAATGTTTGTTTATGGGAAATGACAACGCATATAAACTTAAACTTTTTGTTCTGTTTGTGAAATTTACTAATAAATATAAAATGACCTGACTTGGAATTTTTCTGTCGTTCTTTTTGGGTAAGGAACAATGTCACAAATTTGTTACAAGAAGGAAACATTAAGGCTAGAAATTCGTTTATTCTTTTCAACGTCCTTAGTCGTGTGCTTTGGCTCCCCC